GCGCCATTCTGCACTCAGTGGACGGTTAGTACCAGCCGCCGTGGGACCTTCTAGCCCACACTCTGTGCCATCGACCGATGATGATACACAACAAAGCACTTGGTCTGGCTCTTCGCCGCTAAACAGGAGAGGCAGGGTTTCACCGATCTCGCTGATAGTCGCTGTTGCCGTCTGAGGATCCATACCACGGCTGGAATGTCCGGAGGGCCTGCAGGGAGTATTACCGGGGGGGTCCGTCCGCACAACCACTTGTCGGCCTCCCTCGTGGGTCCTGAACTGTAAAGAAGTTCCAAAGGCACACATCGTCTGAACCCCTAGGATGCATACGGGGTCCGATCCACACTGCAGGATGTTCGGCAAGACCATAAAGTCGACGTCGTGAACGCGAGGACCCAAGCACACCGCAGCTCTAACCGTTCCTCGGAGGGAAACAAACCTACCATCCGCCAACGTAGCCCGCCCCGGGGAGGGGCTCACCTCCCACCCACGAGCTTGAGCTTCAGATTCCGATATATAGTTCTTCACAGCACCGCTATCGAGTAACCCAATCAACGGAGGCTCCCCGTTGGCGAACTTGAGTGACAACGTTGGACCACTTTGCTTGCTCAGAGCCCGGCGTTCCTGACCTTCTTTTTCGCCGCTGCCCATAGTCCATAATAGCTGGACCTGCTCATCCTCGACTGGAACATCACCCTCGTCGTCGTCTTCTGGGCCGTCCACGGTACGAAGAGGCGCCGCAGTCGCGGCTGGGCGTGCCTTGCCCCCCTGGGGGAGCGGTGTAGGTTTTGCAGTAGCATGCGCGAACTTGCACTTATCCCCATACTTGCAGGTGCCCTGGCGAGCCCATATCCGGCAAACCCCCGCCTCGTGAGCGAAGCGACACTTATCACCCCGGCTGCAACGTCCATGGAGGAAATCTCGGCAGAGCTCGCTGGACTTCTCCTCCGTCTTACGATTAGCTACTGACACCGCCGGAGTTTTGACCTGGGCCGGTATCCCTCGGGTAGTAGCGAGCAACGGACAAGCAGTTAACGATGGACCACGGGGCCGCCTAGCGTGGACATCGACTCGGGCCGCCCGAACCAATGCCTTCGGCCGGAAATCCATCCAGCTCGTAGGATATTCATAGCTTGCCTCTAGCATCCCAGGATCATTCACTCCATCACGGAAGGCCTTGATGACACTCGCGTCGGATAGTGGGGAACCAGCCACCGCACATCGCTTGGCCCAACGATCTATGCGATCGA